ATCCCAGCACTTCAGGAGGCTGAGGTGGGCAGATTACAAGTTCAGGAGATGGAGACCATCCTGACTAACACGGTGAAACCCCATCTCTACTAAATATACAAAAAAATTAGCCAGGCGTGGCACACCTGTAGTCCCAGCTACTCAAGAGGCAAGGGCAGGAGAATTGCTTGAACCCGGGAGGTGGAGGTTGCAGTGAGCCAAGATCGCACCACTGCACTCCAGCCTGAGAGACAGAGCAAGACTCCATCTGAATAAAACAAAACAAAACAAAACAAAAGGGCAGCCTGGGTAACATGGCAAAACCCATTTCTACAAAAAATACAAAAATTAGTCAGGCATGGTAGCATATGTCTGTAGCCTCATCTGCTCTGGAGGCTGAGGTGGGAGGATCACTTAAGCCTGGGGAAATAGAGGCTGCAGTGAGCCAGGATTGCACCACTGCACTCCAGCCTGGGTGACAGAGTTAGAGTCTGTCTCAATTAAAACAAAAAAAAAAAATTTTTTTTTAAATAAGGAAGGCATTTCTTTTTAACTTTTATAATTAAAATAAAAGAAAAATCTATTGACATATGTTGCATACATACTGTTGAGAAAAAACAGACCACATTATAACATTGTAAGTCACGGCACAGTAATAACGTTATAGCCTAGAAAACAAACCAAACACTAAGCGTACCTGGTGTATCTCATGTAGACGCAAAGCAATATGCCATTGATTCAAGTCCTAGGTGTCATTAACCTCCTCTGCCCCGACTGTCCAATCCACAGGAAAAGAATATTATAAAATATTCCACAGATGCCCTTTGGCTGTCTGAGCCCTGATGAACTTAGAAAGAGAATTTGTAGTTGAAAACCCAGTAATGCGACAGCACATGATGAATGAGGATAAGCCTCAAGGTACCTCCCAAGCTGTCACTGCAGTGATGGTAGAAATGCAATTGTCATCCCAGACATCCCTTCAGAAAATAAAAAGTCTAGTAAGTTTCTGATTCTGTTTAACCAAAGAATATGGAGTCTTTCTGAAAAAACAGAGTAAGAGTTTAATTTACCAATTATGCTACTTCTTCTGTTTTGTCCATTAAAATCAGACAGGCAGCGCAAAGAACAAGCCAGACCCCACACCTGGGGAGGATAAGCCAGGCCGTCTGCAGCCGCCAATGCTGGAATGCAGTTGAGGGTTGGTTTCTGGCCTGAGCCGAGCTGCCAGGGCATGAACTGTGTCCTTCTTCCTAATTTCCAGGCCACCCACCTCCCCAGGTGCAGACTCCAGGTGTCCCGCCCCTCCACCACTGCCATTTGCCGGCAGTTTCCCAAGAGGCCCCCAGTGCCGCATTTCCTCCCCTGCCCTCTCCACCCCATGCCAGTCCTCTTCCTGCTCCTCCCGGACCAAGGCGGCACCTAGCAATGGGCTAACCCAGTGGCGTGATAATGACAAAAGGCAAAGGCCTGAGCTGGGTTGGACAGTCCCCCAGCCCACAATTTATGAATTACAGGCATTTGTCACCATGCCTGGCTAATTTTTGTATTTTTAATAGAGACGGGATTTCACCATGTTGACCAGGCTGGTCTTGAACTCATGACCTCAAGTGACCCACCCGCCTCAGCCTCCCAAAGTGCTGGGATTACAGGCATGAGCCACCACACCTGGCCTTGAAAAGATGGTTTTTAAACAATAGGGTTTAGATGATAAAATCTCAGAAGAAAACAGAGAATGGGTTTGGCTTATGACATTAGCTCAGTGTCCCCTGTGGCTGGCATGGTATTTGGCAAGCAGAAGGTTTAGCAAATAAATACGTGACTCCATATGCTAATTTGTTTAAAAAGCTTAAAGATAATTGGACGCCAAGTGCTATTTGGACATAGAAATATCATCTTGATAAGCTGTAACTGCTCAATGTTGTTTTTCCACTCAGTTTATTACGAGCAAGACATTGAGAATCACTTGAGCATTCTGAAAGTTGATATTCAAGGAAGGCATGAATCCTTCTGCATAGGACAGGGGCACTGCTTAGACAGCCCTTCCCTAATGCCAGCCTCCGTCACACCTGCTCTATTGACATCCACTACTGTTCAGTCCTCAGGACAGCTCATCACTTTGCAGTTGAGGTCATAGAAGCACTGAGAAGTCAGGTAACTCTCCCAGACCACACAGCTGGTGAGGGCAGCCAGGGCAGTCCCTGTGCCAGGCAGCCTCTCCTCAGAAGCCGCTCCTCCAGTCAGCGTCTACGAAGAGCCCACTGTGTGCAAGTCCCCCATCTGCCATCACACTGAGACAAAGAAGCACCAGGGGGGCTCCTCAGAGAAAGTTCTTCCTGGTCATGGCCCCTCACATTCCTCCAAACCTGAATTCTGGCCCTCCACAGCCTCCTCCCTCAATCCGATCTTCACACTCAGCGAGCTCTCACTCACCCAGTCTCTCCCCAAGTCCAGCAGGTACAGGGAATCATCAAACTCACAACACGGAGGCAGGTGTGGTGGCTCACACCTGTAATCCCAGGTACTTGGGAGGCTAAAGTGGGAAGATTGCTTAAGCACACGAGTTCAAAACTTCAGTGAGTTATGATTGCCACAGCCCTCCAGCCTGGGTGACAGAGAAAAGAAAAAAAAAGGAAAAAAAGTTGCACCCCAAACAAGATGTGAGTCATGGTGTAGTTGGGAACAACCTAGAGTTCTGGCTGCTATTTTTCAGGAGGAAAAAGAGGAGTGTTTGCAAACAAATTAATTTAGCTTATTATAAAAGCTGAACTGCTTGTTTACTTAGATAGCTATCTTATCAGATGTCAACATTCCCCTAGACCTGGCTAGCATGGTTGAGACTGAAAGAAACTGTTAACCACACAAGCAAGAGGACAGCAGTGATGGCTCTGTTTGCAGGACCAAGACTGATGACTTCCCAATATGGTTTGGCTGTGTCCCAACCCAAATCTCATCTTGAATTGTAATCCCCATAATCCCCGTGTGTTGAGGAAGGGATCCAGTGGGAGGTGATTGGATCATGGAGGTAATTTCCCCCTGCTGTTCTTGTGATAGTGAGTTCTCAGGAGATCTGATGTTTTTTAAGGTAGTTTTCCTGCTCTTGCATGCTCTCTCTCACCTGCCACCATGTAGGACGTGCCTGCTTCCCCTTCCACTGTTCGGGAAGTCATCAGCCTTGGTCCTGCAAAAAGCCATCACTGCTGTCCTCTTGCTTGTGTGGTTAACAGTTCCTTCCAATCCCAACCATGCTGGCCAGGTCACGGGGAATTTTGACATCTGATAAGATAGCTATCTAAGTAAACAAGCAGCTCAGCTTTTAAAATAAGTTAAATTAATTGGTTTGCAAGCACTCCGTTTCATCCTGAAGAAGAGCAGCAAGAACTCTAGGTTGTAAGTGTCCAGAGGCCTCCCCAGCCATACAGAACTGTGAGTCAATTAAACCTCTTTTCTTTATAAATTACCCAGTCTCGGGTATTTCTTTTCTTTTCTTTTTTTCTTTACTGTTTTTTGTTTGTTTTTTGTTTTTTGAGATGGAATTTCATTCTGCCACCCAGCTGCCAACCAGGAGTGCACAGGTGCAATCTCGGCTCACTGCAGCCTCCGCCTCCTGGGTTCAAGCAATTTTCCTGCCTCAGCCTCCCAAGTAGCTGGGACTACAGGTGCCCACCACCACACCTAGCTAATTTTTTGTGTTTTTAGTAGAGACACGGTTTCACCATGTTGGTCAGGCTGGTCTCAAATTCCTGACCTCAGGTGATCTGCCCACCTCAGCCTCCCAAAGTGCTCGGATTACAGGTGTAAGGCACCACACCCAGTCAAGGGTACTTTTTTATAGCAGAGTGAAAAAGGCCTAATACAATTCTTTTAGCCAAAACTCCTAGAGATTACAGTATATTTTCTGTGTGTACATAAGAAATTAGAATGGGATTTAAGGAATTTGCTAATAGGACTATTTACCTGATGTGGTCAAGATAATATGCGGATCCTATTTTTCACGGACTCTTAAAACTGCCCCCAGGACACCTCCTTGGCTGTAGCTAGGTAGCTGACCCTTTATTTGCATTCAGCAATATCTGAAAGCTATTCAGAAAAACTTGGCTCAACATTTATTTCTGAATAAATATTTGAAAATCATTCATTTTTCTGGCAAATCAGTAGTAGCATCAGCAGATCATGCCCCAGTTTCACAGGGCACTTACCTCCATCTGGCCTGGAAGCCAGGCCACGTTCTGCTTATACACCTGCTTCTGTGTCCATAATACAGTGTGCATTTGTTAGAACAAGCTAACTGCCATGGCAGAGACCCAAAATCTTTAATGGCTCCACCACCATAGACGTTTATTCTGCGCTCACATATTAGTTCTAAACAGATGCACAGCCCTCCTCCATGTAGTCACTTACAAAGAGGCCCAGGCTCAGGAAAGCTCTGCTATCGTCACCTTTTCAAGTGGAAAATGTTCTTGTAACTCTTCAAGTTGAAAGTCAAGTGACTCTCAAGGTAGCCTTGGTTGTTGAAATCAAGACTTCACTAAAGGGAAAGCCCTGGAAACAACATGGGTGCGTTTTCCTAGGCCAGGTGAGGAAATGGTATCTACCCCTTCTGCATGCATTTTATTGGGTAGGAAGGACTCAGGGCCATGGGCCACTCCTAATGGCAAGGGGCCTGGGAAACAGCTCAGCCATGGAGAAACATGGATTTTGATGATCCCTTAGCAGTCTCTGCTCCATAATGAGATATGAGATGATGGATGAACCCTGAACCTTATTCCCCACTTTCAATAAAAAGATACTATTCTGGACAATATAGACTGTAGGAAGCCTTATAGTTAATATTTTAAAATTCTGTTTTCAGGGATATTCTGGACAAATAAGAAACTCACAGACAAAAATTGTGTGTATTCCAGTAATCCATGTAAGGCCCTGGAGTCAGATAGCCCAGATTTGAATCTGGACTCTGTCTTCTTTGTAGCTGGTTGATCTGGGCAAGATATTAATTTCTCTTGGCCTCAGTCTCTTTAGATATAAATGGGTACAAGAATAGTATCTGTCTCACAGAGGTGGCCTGAGAGTTAAATGAGAAGATGCGCGGGGACGGTATATGACAGTGAGGAGCATGGGACTTGGCACAGAGCAAGCCCCGAGAACAGGAATCAAACCACATTTCACTGAGACTCCAAATGGCCATAGATACCACCTTCCGAAGTAAGGCATGAGGCCACCATGTAAGACTTGCAAAATGAAAGGTGGCAGGGAGGAATCAGGCAACTGTCAAACCGTCTTTCCCATTAAGGGTATGAGTTGAGAGGAATTGGGAGAAGAGGGTTGCTGCTGGGCATCCCGCTGTCCCACCCTCAGGGGAGGTGGGTTGGCGGTGCCTGACTTTAAGGCCGTGAGGGGACCTTAAACAATAGCACTTGGGGGCACAGGGAGCTCGTGTCTGACCCAGGCCTGAAAACCTTGACAAATCTGGCAGGCTGGTGACTGTGCCAACAGAGGCAGAAGAGGCACTGCATGGGGATGGCCACCTCCTAGTGCTTCCCAGGAACCAAGTGTGGAGCCCCAGTGAGAACTAAATGGGGCCAGGAGAGGGCAAAACAGAAGAACGTCTCACGGATCCCAATCGAAGGGGCCCCGGAGAGGGTTCAGACAAAGTAGCTAAAGAAGATCTTCCTGGTGACAGAGGTTATGGAGCCGATGCCAGCCAGATGCAATCAAGATTCTTCACCCATGTTAGAGAGCAGCAACAGAGATCCCAGTGACAGGAACTTGGCACTGGGCTGGGCAAGGAGACTTTCACCAACTCACAAAAGGGCACAGGGAACAAACTCATCTTTCCATCCTGCCAAGCCCAGAAAGGTGCTGCCGATCTTTCTGTTCAATTCAGCTTCTTCCAACAAACGTTCTCTGAGCACCTCCTACACCAAGCATCCTCTAGGGATCTAGGACACATCAGTGAACAAAACAGAGGTGTTGCCTTGGCAGAGCTTCTGTATCAGTGGGAGAAGACAGCCAGTAAACAGTGAGCACAGCAAATGAACAGGAGCAGGCTGTAAGGCGTGTGAGAAGGTGATGTTCTAAGGAGAAAACACAGCTGTGAGCACAAGCGGGTGGAGCTGCCAATTTAATAATGAAAAGTCAACTTTCTGGTTTCTTTTACTTGCCCTTCCTGCCCCGAACTCCAAATACCAGAGGTAGCTAACTGGGAGCAGCACTAGAGCCCAGCGTGCAGACAGAGGGCGAAGCCCACCCCACACCCCTGCCAGTCCCACCACCGTCACAGCTGGCAGTTCCGAGCCGAGGCAGGTTGGAGCTGCAGGAAGGGAGGAAGTTTAGGAGGAGTCAAGCTTCAATATTACACTGACCTGAGCATATTAAGTACTGCATTGAACCTGGTAAGCTAAAAGAAACCAGAAAATGACCAGGAAAACTTCTAGTGCTTTCTCCTTGAGCAGGGGATGGGGGTAAGGCCACAGAGGAATTTAAGGGCCACAAGAGACAAAAATGATGCTGCTATGCATATACCAGGCCAGGATTCCCAAATGTTGAAATGGCCACACACTCATTAATGACAGCTGATTTTTAATGGAATGATCATAGAACGCTATGGAATCACTTCTTAGTACCGTATACCACAGTATCTGTTAAAAACAATGAGGCAAAAGCCTCAGAAGCTTAAAATGAGGTCCAGATAACCAAAAATATGGGGTGCCTTGTTTTATAAAATTGAAATGTTGACATCCAGAAAGAACTTGATTTACTTAAGAAGGAAAAAATATGAGAAATACCTGCATATTCATTTCCTTGGGCTCTATAGCAAAGTACCACTCACTGAGTGGCTTAAACAATAGCAGGTTATTCTCAGTTCTGGAAGCCAGAAGCCCAAAATCAAGGTGCCCACAGAGCGTCTGGTGCGTGTCTATCCTGGCCATTCCTTGGCTTGCGGCTGCAGCACGTCCATCTCGGCCCAGGTGTCCCATGTTTGTCCCCCATGTGTGCTGTGTGTCCTCTCTTCTTCCTATGAGTTCGCCTGCCACATTGGACGAAGGCGCCACCGAAGTACAGTGTGACCTCATCTTCACTCATTACATCAGCAATGATGCTGTCTAAATAAGGCCACATTCTGAGGTACTAGGGAATAGGATGTCAGCATATTTTTTGTTGGGACTTCATTCAACCTATAAAAACTTATTAAGCTACTTTTTAAAGAAAACATACTTCTTTTTAGGCCACTGTAAGAAAAGAAAATTTTAGGCCCATGTCATCGCTGATGAACACAGATGCTTAAATTCTAAAAAAAAAAAAAAAAACCATCAAAGCGTGGTAAGCTGTTTTTGCATTGCTGAAATACCTGAGACTGGGGAATTTATAATGAAAAGAGGTTTAATTTTTGGCTCACAGTCCTGCAGGCAGTACAGGCATGGCACTGGCATCTGCCTAACTTTAGATGAGCTTCAGGGGACTTTTACTCAAGGCAGAAGGAGAAGCAGGAGCCGGCACATCACATGGCAGGAATAGGAGAGAGAAATGGGGCTGGGCGTGGTGGCTCACGCCTATAATCCCAGCACTTTGGGAGGCCAAGGCTGGCAGATCACCTGGGGTCTGGAGTTCAAGACCAGCCGGGCCAACATGGTGAAACCCCATCTCTACTAAAAATATAAAGATTAGCCAGGCATGGTGGTGGTGCACACCTGTAATCCCAGCTATTCAGGAGGCCGAGGGGGGAGAATCGCTTGAACCCAGGAGGCAGAGGTTGCAGTAAGCTGAGATCACGCCATTGCACTCCAGCCTGGGTGACAAGAGTGAAACTTCACCTCAAAAAAAAAAAAAGGAGGGACAGAGAAACAGGTGGCAGGGGAGGGTGTCACATGCTTTTACGCAATCAGATCTCATGAGAACTCACTCATTGTCATGAGGACAGCACCAAGAAGATGGTGCTAAACTAATCGTGAGAAATCCACCCCATGATCCAGTCACCTCCAGGCCCCGCCCCCAACACTGTGGATTACATTTCAACATAAGATTCAGGTGGGACGCACATCCAAACCATATCACAGACCAAATTCAACAGCATATTAAATGGCATGATCAGGTGGGATTTATCCCAGGCACACAAGGATGTTTCAACAAATGCATATCTATAAATGTCATCACCACATTAACAGAATGAAGGACAAAATCTATATGATCATCTCAACAGATATAGAAAACGCATTTGACAAAACTCAACATCCGTTCCTGATAAAAACTCTCAACAAATTAGGTATAGAAGAAATGTACCTCAACACAATAAAGTCCATATATGAGAAGCCCACAACTAGCAGTGAAAAGTTGACAGCTTTTCTTCTATGATCAGGAACAAGACAAGAATGTTCATATGGTTTGGCTCTGTGTTCCTACCAAAATCTCATCTCAAATTACATTCCCATGGGTAGAGGAAGAATCTGGTGGGAGGTGATTGGATCATGGGGGCAGATTTCCTCTTGCTGTTCTCATAGTGAGTGGGTTCTCATGAGATCTGATGGTTTAAGAGCGTGGCACTATAAAGGGAATAATAATTCCATTTATTATTCTGGAATTATTCTCTCTCCTGCTGCCATGTAAGGCGTACCCTGCTTCCCCTTTGCCTTCCAGTATGATTGTAAGTTTCCAGAGACCTCTCCAGTTCTGTAGAACTGTGATTCAATTAAAGTTCTTTTCTTTACAAATTACCCAGCCTCAGTGTGTAATTTATAGCAGTGTGAAAGATAAACACTTATCTTTATAGCAGTGTGAAAACAGACTGATACAGATGCCCACTCTCACCACTTCTATTCAACACAGTACTGGAAGTCTAAGCCAGAGCCTTAAGGCAAGAGAAAGTAACAAAAGGCATTAAAATTGGAAAGGAAGAAGTTAAATTGTCTTTGTGTATAGATGACACAATCTTACATAAAGAAAACTCTAAAGGCTTCATAAAAAACTGTTAGAAATAGGCCAGGCTCAAGCCTGTAATCCCAGCACTTTGGGAGGCCAAGGCGGGTGGATCATGAGGTCAAGAGATCAAGACCATCCTGGCCAACATGGTGAAACCCCATCTCTACTAAAAATACAAAAATTAGCTGGGCATGGTGGTGTGCGCCTGTAGTCCGAGCTACTGGGGAGGCTGAGGCAGAATTGCCTGAACCCCGGGAGGCGGAGGTTGCGGTGAGCTGAGATTGTGCCACTACACTCCAGCCTGGCGCCTGGCGACAGAGTGAGACTCTGTCTCAAAAAAAAAAAAAAAAACTGTTAGAAATAATAAACGAGGCCAGGCACAGTGGCTGACACTTATAATCCCAGCAGTTTGGGAGGCCAAGGTGGGTGGACCACTTGAGGTCAGGAGTTTGAGACCAGCCTGGGCAACATGGAGAAACACTATCTCTACGAAAATTTCAAAAAATTAGCTGGGCATGGTGGCATGAGCCTGTGGTCCCAGCTACTCAGGAAACTGAGGTGGCAGAATCACTTGAGCCTGGGAGGAAGAGGTTGCAGTGAGTCAAGTTCATGCTACTGAACTCCAGCCTGAGTGACAAAAACCCCCATCTCAAAAAAAAAAAAAAAAAAAGAATAAACAAGTTAGTGAAGTTGCAGAAATCAACACATGATACAGAATCAATATATGAAAATCAGTGACATTTGTATGCACCATGAACTATTCCAAAAAGAAATCAACAGAATAATTCCATTTTTAAGAGCATCAGAAATTATTTAGAAATAAATTTATCCAAGGAGGTGAAAGGTCTGTTCACTAAATACTATAAAATATTGATGAAAGAAATTGAAGACCAGTCATGGTGGCTCATATGTGTAATTCCAGCACATTGGGAGGATCAGGCAAGAGGATTGCTTGAGTCTAGGAGTTCAAGACCAGCCTGAGCAACATATTGAAATCCTCTCTACAAAAATAAAAAATAAAAATAAAGATAACAAATTAGCCAGGTGTGGTGCTGTGCACCTGCGGTTTAAGCTACTCAGGAGGCTGAGGCAGGAGGATTGCTTGAGCCCAGGAGTTAAAAGTTGCAGTGAGCTATGATCATGTCACTGCACTCCAGCCTAGGCAGCATAGTGAGGCCTTATCTCAAAAGGAAGGAAGGAGAGAAGGAAGGAAGGAAGGAAGGAAGGAAGGAAGGAAGGAAGGAAGGAAGGAAGGAAAGAAGGGAGGGAGGGAGGGAGGGAGGGAAAAAAGGAAGGAAGGAAAGGATAAAAGGAAAGGGAAAATTGAAGAAGACACAAATAAATGGGAAGATATTCTGTGCTAATGGATTAGAAGAATTTATATTGTTGAAACATCTATACCACACAAAGCAATCTACAGATTCAATGCAATCCCCATGAAAATTCCAATGACATTTTCCACAGAAATAGAAAAAATAATCCTAAAATTTATATGGAACCACAAAAGACCCTGAAAAGCCAAAGCAATCTTTATCAAAACGAACCATGCTGAAGGCATCACATTACCTGATCTCAAAATCTACTACAAAGCTATAGTAATCAAAACAGCATGGTACTGGCATGAAGAAGACATATAGACTAATGAAACAAGAAGCTCAGAAATAAATCCATGAATTTATGGTCAGCTGATCTTCAATAAGGGTCCCAAGAATATACAACAGTGAAAGGACAGTTTCTTCAATGAATGGTGTGGGAAAACTAGATGTTCACACACAGAAGAATAAACTTAAACCTTTATTTCGCACCATACATAAAAAGAAACTCAAAATAAAGACTGAAAGATAAGACCACAAACTCTAAAACTACTAGAAGAAAACATAGGGGGGAAAGCTCCATGACATTGGTCTGGGTAATAATATTTTGGCTATGACCCCAAAAGCACAGGCAACAAAAGCAACAATAGACAAATGGGCTGCAGCAAACTAAAAACTTTCTGCACAGCAAAGGAAACAACCAACAGAGTGAAAAGAAAATCTACAGGAAGGGAGAAAATATTTGCAAGTCATACATTTAATATCCAAGATATAAAAAGAACTCAAACAACTCAATAGCAAGAAGACAACCTGATTTTTAAAATGAGCATAAGTGGTTCCCAGAGGCTGGGAAGAGTGGTGAGGGTGATGGAGGTAGGAGCAGTCGGGGGTAGTAACTGGATACAAACACTGTAGTTAGGTAGAATGAATAAGATCTAGTATTTGACAACACAACAGGGTGACCACAGTCAGCAATAATTTACTATACATTTAAAAATAACAGAAAGAAGGCCGGGCACAGCCGTTCATGCCTATAATTCTAGAACTTTAGGAGGCTGAGGCAGGTGGTTTACTTGAGGTCAGGAGTTCAAGACCAACCTGGTCAACATGATGAAACCCCATCTCTACTAAAAACACAAAAATTAGCCAGGCACGGTGGCACATGCCTGTAATCCCAGCTACTCAGGAGGGTGAGGCAGCAGGAGGATCACTTGAACTCAGGAGGTGAAGGTTGCAATGAGCTGAGATTGCGCCACTACACTCCAGCCTGGGCGACAGAGCAAGACTCTGTCTCAATCAATCAATCAATCAATCAATCAGAAACACTATAATCAGGAGGCTTGTAACATAAAATATGATAAATGCTTGAGGAAATAAATACCCCATTTATGCTAATGTCATTATTATGCATGCATACCTGTATCAAAGTATCTCGTGTACCCCATAAACATATATGACTACTATGTATCCATAAAAATAAACAGTTAAAAGTTTAAAAATTAGCAAAGGACCTAAATAGACTTTTCTCAAAAGAAGACATATGAAGAACCAATAGGTGTAAGAAAAGATGTTCAGCATCACTGCTCTTCAGGGCCATGCAAATCAAACCACAGTGAGATGCCACCCCACACCTGCTAGAATGGCTGTTACTAAAAAGACAAAAGGTAACGAGAGTGGGAAGGATGTGGAGGAAAGGGAATGCACAGCCGTGATGGAAGGCAGGATGGAGGTTCTTCAAGAAACTATAAACAGAACGGCCATATGATCCAGCCATCCCCCTTCTAGGTATATATTCAAAGAAACGAAATCAGTAGAAAGAAATATCTACACTCCCACACCTATATTCATCTTCAATATCCATTCAACAGATGAATGGATAAAGAAATGTGACTTATACACAATGGAACACTATTCAGCCTTAGAAAGGATACAAATCCTGTCATTTGTGACAACATGGATGAACCTGGAGGACGTTAACCTAAGTGGAATAAGCCAGGCACAGAGCGAAAACTAGTTCATGATCTCATTCATATGTGGAATCTAAAAAAGTCAAACTCAGGCTCACACCTGTAATCCCAGCACTTTAGGAGGCCTAGGCGGGTGGATCACTTGAGGCCAGAAGTTCAAAACCAGCCTGGCCAACATGGTGAAACCCCGTTTCTACTAAAAATACAAAAAATTAGCTGGGTGTGGTGGTACAGTGAGCCGAGATTGTGTCGTTGCACTCCGGCCTGGGCAACAGAGTGAGACTCCAACTCAAAAAAATAAAAACAAATAAAAAAGAAAAAAAAGAAATCACTCTGCTCAGAATCCCAGAGCTGCACAGCCTCCACCAACAATTTAAGCCTCGTGTGTGTGTGTGTGTGTGTGTGTGTGTGTGTGTGTGTGTGTGTGTGTGGCGCAATCTCAGCTCACTGCAACCTCTGCCTCCCGGATTCAAGTGATTCTCCTGCCTCAGCCTCCCAAATAGCTGGGACTATAGGTGTGTGCCACCACACCCAGCTAATTTTTTGTACTTTTAGTAGAGTTTTGTATTTTTAGTGGTTTCACCATGTTAGCCAGGATGGTCTCGATCTCCTGACATCATGATCCACCCGCCTCGGCCTCCCAAAATACTGGGATTACAGACGTGAGCCACCGTGCCCAGCCCCCAATTTAAGTCCCTTTCAAGCATCCAAATGCAACGCTGTCTTCTTGGTGACACAGGAGATTCTGCTTTGGTTAAACTTCTCCAGGACTGGCTATATAGTTTGGGGAGGGTACACAGTGTAAAATGACCCTCTTTGGAAAAGCATCAGTGAGTTCGAGACAACATCAGCTGACCATTAAACCACGAGAGAGGCTCTTCCACGCAGGCCCGTGAGGCCGGCCCTGAGCTCCACCCTCCCACCTCCCTGCACTGACTGTCGCTGGCTCTCTGAAGAGCTTCCTGAGTGATACAGCCTCTGAGTTGGTAAAGTGTTGACATGGGCTTTGTTGTGCAACCATATGTACTCAGGTGCGGTTTGTCACTTTCTTTCGATTCCAGGCACGCAGGAAATCTAGACTCTGGCTTCCTCTGAGCTTGGACCAGGCTCCAGTTGCCTGGCAGCCCCTTGTCTACGCCAGCAATGCCTCCCCCAGCCTGTGCCCACAGGGCTCCCAGGCAGAGAGTGAAGCAGATGTGTGTGCATGCTCAACACGGCTACATTCTTCACTTCCACCAGGAACTATTCAGATCCCACACTGCCAGGTTTCCAGGTTTCCATGAGAATTCAGATTTTTTGTGAAAAAAAATTTTTAATGTTGACGACTAAATAAAATTTTTAAAAGAGAACTGTGCAAGCAAAACAATAGATGGGCATGAGCCCTATGTAGTCGTGAGCTGCAGGTTACCCTCGGCAGCACCTACACTGTCTCCAGGCATCATTCCTGGCAGCACGAGGACATCCACTTGCAGGGGAGGGAAAATGTTCTCAACCCTCTGAGGACTTCCAGCTGGGACTGACATAAGACAGATTAACCAGAGAAAAGCACACAAATTCGACTTGTGTGCACGTGGGAGCCCTCACAAGAAAGATGAAGACTCAAAGGAGTGACTAGGCCTACATGCTTGGATATTGCATTGAACACAATGAGAACTCATGGACACAGGGAGGGGAACATCACATGTCGGGGCCTGTCAGGGGTGAGGGGCTAGGGGAGGGATAGTATTAGAAAAAATACCTAATGTCGATGACGGGTTGATGGGTGCAGCAAACCACCATGGCACGTGTATACCTATGTAACAAACCTGCACATTCTGCAGGCATGCCTCAGGACTTGAAGCATAAGGATAATAATAAATAAATATATATATATATGTCTTATGTTGAACAAAGAATAGCAATTGCAGAAAAGTAACTGAAATGTATGGGAGATTAAAGGACAATCAGGGTTATTTTAACAAGTTCTGTTTGTACAGGTTTCTCTCCTCCTCAACTTCCATTCTCTAATGAAAAGAATGTTTCTTCTTACTGATACAAGATGGTCACTTTTTTTTTTTTTTTTTTTTTTGAGATGGAGGTTTGCTCTTGTTGCCCAGGCTGGAGTGCAGTGGTGTGATCTCAGCTCACTGCAACCTCTGTCTCCTGGATTCAAGAGATTCTCCTTCTTCAGCCTCTGGAGTAGCTGGGATTACAGGCACCTGCCACCATGCCCAAGTAATGTTTTGTATTTTTAGTAGAGACAGGGTTTTACCATGTTGGCCAGGCTGGTCTCAAACTCCTGACCTCAGGGGATCTGCCCACCTTGGCCTCCCAAAGTGCAGGCATGAGCCACTGAGCCCGGCCGATGATCACATTTTATATGGGTATTTTATGCTTCTAAAAAAAAAAAAAAAAATCAGAGCGCCCTCCCTGCACCTGCTTTTTTCCCAGTGTTTTCAACTTAAAATAATTAATTTTGAGTGAATAGCATATTTTGGGGTGGCACATCCGGAACTTCTTTCTCCTCCACGAGGCTGTGCTTCCTCCCTCAGAGGCCCTGCTGGGTTTCATCTGTGCATGGAGCCACTGTTAGGACAAGTGTCCCTGAAGAGCAGAGGAGGCCTCGGGGGTGTGGTGGTCCCTCTGATTGACATATGGGTAGGGAAAGTCTCAGCAGATGAGCCTGGAGGAGGTGAGAAGGCAGAACATGGTGCGTCTTGACAGGGTGGAGAGGAAGCTGTCCCCAGATGAAGCCAGGTATCCTGGGTAGTTGGGGGCCAGTGGTGAGAAGGGGGTGGTGGTGGAACAAGGGTGGTGAGAATGGTAGACCAGAGAACTTAGAAGAGATGTGACGGGAGAGAGGCCAATGGAAAGAGACCAAGAAAGACGAGGCCTCCCTCTCACAGTTCCATCCAAGGCTTCCCTGGACATCCCAGTCTCAGCAGAGAGCTCGTCCCGTTATGGCCTTTGGGGCCCCTGAAGAACAACAGCACTCGCCCTCAAGATGCTCCCAGTCACTCCCGGTTGTGACTCAGCCGCCTTGCAGGGTAGCCCCAGCATCTTCTAGGGAAGAAGCACAAAGCGGTTTCCTGCCCTGGCAGCCCCCTCGGGTTTGCCTCCCAAAGGAGTTCGTGGGATTGGCCTCCTGGGAGCTGAGAGAAGCAAACACTTGTAGAATTTGTTCATTCCTCTCATTGTAAGTTTCTGTTTGATGAATTCCAGGTTCCCAGGAAATGCCCTCGGCACTTTCAATAACATAATAGCTCTTGTTGAGGTAGGGAGTGGGGTGAGGGAAAACTTGGTAAAGCCCTTGATTGGCACCATGAATGGGGAAGGCAGCCAGCACCATTCCTTCCCAGAACCGTGCTGTCACCTGGGGCCAGTCTGACCGGGCCAGCCCTGGGGGGCCAGGGAAGCGAGGCAGGAGGAGCATGCAGCTGGCCCTGCCCAGGCTGGGGGTGTGGGCTCTAGCCTGACTTTGTGGATGGGACATTAGGCCAGAGATGTCCAGGCCTAGGCAGGCCGGGCGCTGACTGTGACCCTCAGAGAGGTGGACCTGAGCTTCCAAGGAGGCTCAAAGGACTGGCACCTTCTTGTGTCCCTTAGCCCCTGCGACTCAGAGAAGTGACCAGAATTTCTTCAGACCACCTGAGGCCATTGGCAGTGAACACCTGGATGTGTTTAACCTGTGTGCACAAAGTGAGCAAGAATAGAGTAACCCTAGGAGACTTCAGGTGGACAGTGACAGCTGCTGGATGTGTCCTTATAACCGGAAGCATTAACAATGTCTTCCAAAACTCTGTCTGTACAACAAGGAGCCAGGTGAAAATTTGGCAACTGCAGTACCTTGCAGATTCAATCAAAGGAGACGAAGCAGCTTTTCTTGCCTAAATAGCCCCGTGTGGGTTTGAACGACGACTCCATTAACCATGTAGGTTTTTCACTTTCATTCTCTTTAAATTGTGTATCTTCATAGCAGATTATTTCCATTTGAGATGACTTGTGTTCTTCAGCTTTACGGGAAAGGTGTGCAGTGGCTTCCCTGTTCCGAGGTCTCACTTTCCATGCTTTTAGTT